AATCGCTGATTCAGTTGTAACTTACCAGATCAAGAATGAGAGAAAACATGCAGCAGTTGCCCATAGCTTCAGAACACTTAAAAGCTTCTGCCACAAGAATTAGCAATGAATTATTAGCCAAAGCCGACAAACAATCAAAATGTGACCATCTACTGCAGTGAGCTTGGCTTTTTTCCATCTACCCTCTAGATCTCATCTGTAGATTCAGGAAGAGGGCACTGCATACATCCAGCATCCTGCTGCACCCCACAGTAAGCTGTGGGAAATCAAAGACTGTGTGTGGATCAGTCAATGTTGCTGAGCACTCAGGTCATCTCTGCACAACCCCAAAGACTCCCAGAAAGTCAACTCAACAATAAATAGAATTGCTGCTTTCCATTGTTTTCCCCCACTCAGAAGACCAAAGATTAAAGTACTACTTTCATGCACTCCGGGGATGCAATTCTAACTTCCCTGTGGTAGGTAAATGTTCTTCCTTGGCAAATGCATCGGGTTGACCTCTCCAGCTGCATGAAATCAGCACTGTTATGTATTGCTGCAATACTCAAGCAAAATTGTTTTAAAGCATTTCGGTCACTCCTATTTAATGTTCTATTCATTACTTCTATTTGCCTGAACCTCCTAGATCTGTCTTCCACCCTTTCTGTTCTCTTCCAGCTAACTTTTCATCTCTTTGCTCTCTAAATCCCAGATCTCTTGTCCTCAGGGGGTGCAACCTGATTAAAAAAAAAAAAAAAGAGATCACCTTAAGCTTTGCAGCAAGGGCAGAAAAAAAAATTTTGCCCCCTACTGACTTAAAATTGGTTTTGGCTTTTAAATGAACTAAAATTGAAGTACAACCCATTAAAAAGATACAATCCCAGTAAAAGCAAAGATAAGCATGAAATACTACTTCGGTGAGTTTAGGATTGCTTCATGCCATAGCTCTCAATGTTCATACTTAAGTGGCAACCACAGGCAAGCTATGGTAAGGCACTCTTCTTGCAAAACATCTAGAACAGTACACTGAAACATACTTCAGAACTACTTTCTATTTTTTGGGGGGGTTCAGAGGATGTCCGTTGTTACTAACAGCATGAAAATAACATCCTAACAGTGACAATAGCACACTATGTTCACAACGCTTTGCTTTTCGCACTTTGAAGAATAATGAACATTATATCCACATAAGTAAAATTCAAACCCCATTTTTGACTGGGGGGACTGAAGTGTGGATTCCATGTCAGTAAAAGGTACTATTTTGAAAAGCAGCTAATGATTTACATATGTAAAGAACCTTCACCATCACAATAGTGAGGAAGAGGAAAAGTAATAGAATCATAGAATCATAGAATGGTTAGGGCTGGAAGGGACCTTCAAAGGTCATCTAGTCCAACCCCCCTGCAAGGAACAGGGATATCTCCAACTAGATCAGGTTGCTCAGGGCCTTGTCCAACCTGGCCTTGAACGTCTCCAGGGATGGAGCATCCACCACCTCTCTGGGCAACCTGTTCCAGTGTTCTACCACTCTCATGGTAAAAAATTTTTTCCTAATATCCAACCTGAACCTACCTCCCTCTATTTTAAAACCGTTACCCCTTGTCCTATCATAACTGGCCCTCCTGAACAGCCTCTCCCCATCTTTCCTGTAGGCCCCCTTGAGGTACTGGAAGACCGCTATAAGGTCACCCCGGAGCCTCCTCTTCTCCAGGCTGAACAGCCCCAACTCTTTCAGCCTGTCCTCATAGGAAAGGTGCTCCAGCCCTCTTATCATCTTCGTGGCCCTCCTCTGGACCCTCTCCAACTGGTCCATGTCCTTCTTATGTTGGGGACTCCAGAACTGGACGCAGTACTCCAAGTGAGGTCTCACGAGGGCAGAGTAGAGGGGGAGAATCACCTCCCTCGACCTGCTGGCCACGCTCCTCTTGATGCAGCCCAGGACGCGGTTGGCCTTCTGGGCCAACCATCACAATAGTGAGGAAGAGGAAAAGTAACCCCTCCTTTCCCTCCAAAACAGACAAAAACAGGAAATTCGGATGCAAAGTTATCCTTGAAAGAAATATACACCTAATGTGTATTATATACTCAACCCAGAAAATACAATTAAGATAGATTTATTTCTGAGAAGGAAGGGGGGATTTTTTTTTTTTCTTCAAGACATCTTTCCAGGAGATATCACTGTCAGCTATGAAAAAGATCTTTTCATAAAACTACTGAGAAGTAGACACTGCTACACTAAGCTTCCCATTGCAATGAAACCAATTTTAAATACAATATAGGCATATAAATACAAAGAGAAGACCTAGCCTGCAAAAAAGGCCAAAGTAAAACAAACAACAAAAAAAGTGTTTACTGCACAGACTTGTTTTTCCTGAAGAGATCTGAAAAATATACTCTAGTTCTTCTGTCCCATCCCCCTAATCCTCTTACTAGCAGACATTCTCTCCGCAGCTATTTCATTACGCTTCATTTCTGAAATCCACATCAGTAGCATTCAGTACATTTTAGCAGCAAGGCTACACATAACGATACATCTTTTTATCCCACTTGGGAAAAACCTGGAGAAAAATGTACATAAACACATGCTGAAAGTAGTCTGAAGACAAGAAGGTCATTTGTTTACACACTACATGTAAGAAGTATTTTAACATTTTCAAATTTGTGATATTGGGTATTTCTGATCACTTCAATTTTCAGCTTTCCCAACTACAATTCGTTATTTTCTTGCACAAAGTCTAACCTGATCTAGAAATTTATTTCTCCTTCTGAATTCCTAACTACGTGCTATCAATAGTTGTAAATTCAAAACAATACTAAAATGATTTGAAGTAAAAATGAGTAACTTCTGACCTACTCTTGATAGTTCAGCATGGGTGTATTTGTTATCAGTACTTGTTTTTCCTATGTGTACAACTTTTCATTCTACATTTATTCAGTCTCAAAAAAAAAAAAAAGACAGCAGAGACCACTGTATAGGGAAGATAATTTGTTTTTACACAGTGCCCTGCATTGTCCAGCTGTCCCTGAGCACTTTACAGAACAGTAAGCCTCCTAAATGTACCACCACACAGGCAAAGCCAGCAGCTGTTCTGCTCTCTACAAGAGCTCACCTCTAACCAGAGAAATCTTATACTGAGAGGCTGCACATGAACCCAAGACATTAGGGGAACATTTATTCTTGTGGTTTAACCCGGCAGGCAGCTAAATACCACACAGCCCTTTGCTCACTCCCCTTCCCCCAGTGGGATGGAGGAGGGAATCAGAAAAAAGTTGAGATAAAGACAGTTTAATAGGACAGAAAGGAAAGGAAAATAACAATAATGATAAAAGAATACACAAAACAAGTGATGCACAATGCAGTTGCTCCCCAGGCAGCAGCTGCCACTCCCTGGCCAACTCCCCCCCAAGTGTTATTGTTCAGCACGACGTCATACAGTATGGAATATCCCTTCAGTTGGGGTCAGCTGTCCTGGCTGTGTCACTTCCCAGCTTCTTGTGCACCCCAAGCTTGTTGCACTGCTCAGCAGCAACTAAAACATCAGTGTGTTACCAACATTATTCTCATCCTCCATCCAAAATACAGCACTATACCAGCTACTAGGAAGAAACTCTGTCCCAGCTGAAACCAGGACAACTCTATTTATAAAAAAATGGCTACTATATCTGTAGGTATAATGCTGCACGTACTTAGAATTCTAAAGTGTAAAATAAAGTATGGAAAAATCAGTAGTGTAAATGTATGTTGGATGTAACATAACTCTCTACTAAAAAAAAAAAAAAGTAGTCCTAATCTAGTCCTAAAAACTTCCTAATATCCGAAGTTTATGTGGCATTTTTCATACGACACCTAAACTGTGTCTAAAACAACGCAAAACTCTACCCGGATGGGAAAACATCTACTCGTAAATGCCGAGACTGAAACTGAGATTTCCCAAGTGACTGCTGCTTATGCGCTGGACAATAATCTAGAGAAAAGTCTCTAAACCAGGAAAATCATGTCCTAAAAATAAAAAAAAAAACATTCCCAAAGGTGAAAGTTTTCTTACTAATAACTTGGTCTTGTAAGGAAAAGTTAGTCTTCTATGGCAAGCCACAGCCTAACTTTTTCAGTTCTTTATCTTCCATTTCCATCCTGTGTCAGCAATATTAACCTTTCATTTCAGTCATCATATGAAGAAGACAACGCTCACCTTTGGTCTCAGTGACAAGCTGGATAAAGCTGTCTATATTACCATTTCCTCTCTTTCTACTTAACAGCTGGCTTTTTTGCTTTTGTTTGTTATGGGTTTTTTTAATGAATGCTGTGGGTACAGACAGGTCAGATATAAACCTACAGGAGAAAAAGTGGCAGATAGTTTTACCATGAAAGCACAAAGCTCAGTTCTATACATTTTATCAATCTTGAAGAACAATCAAAAGCCTTCAGACATACACAATTCTAAAAATGGAAGCTTTCCATACGGAAAGTCCTTCCTGTGTGATCAAACACACAAGTTATCAAAACAGGATGTAGCACAGAGAGCGCACATGCATCCTTGCTTCAATTGTTATGGCATTAGCCTTCCTAGCTGAATTACTCCTTGGAGTAAAGTTGTATTTTCGTTGTTTTTTTTTTAAAGCAAGTATGTTCTGCTCATAACTCTAGGAAGCATGCAAAGATAACTGGGCACAAAAGCGAATACAACTCAGGAAACAGTGCACAGTCACATACTAAAGAACATGGTAAACTACTCAGCTTATTGCACAAAGATTATTGTCTACTTGAAAAGGATTACAGCCAAGGTGGCCAGACAAACCCTAAAATACAAATCAACACACTCCTCTATGCACCTGATGGCTGGATTATTGCAAAACCTGGAGAACAAGGTTGAAGACGCCTTATCTCCCATCTCATTTGATACTACGCTTCATGAGTGGATATGAGCCATTCTGGAGTTCTGAGATTCAGAAACAAACAAGCAAGCAAGTCCTCCCCTTCCCTCTGCTCCACCCCGCACAAAGACAGACACAGAAAGGAAACATTCATTTTGTAACGTCAGTGTTTATTTACAGGAGAGAAGGTTTACACGAGTTGAAAAGTTGTTTCAACAGGAACTCAACAATTAGTGCTTTTTCCTGTCTTCAAAAAAGGGATGACTTCAACATTTGATGATGCAGCTTCAGAACACTTTGACGATCACTTGGGAAAAAAGTGCCAGGAATCAACTAAACCAAAAAAAAATACACATAAAGAATGATATTAGCTCTATTCAACTAGCCAGACACAAACACTGGAAAAAGCAACATTGTGCCCTTTCAGCTATCTCCCCTCCCATAGCAATACTTCTGGATGGGCTCTATCCCCAGCTTATGCAAAGCACAGCCTCAAAACAGTATCTGTTCAGCACTTCCAACAGTTTGGCTGAAACAATCCTGCACAAAGTTACAACTTTGACTTGACCGTCCCTGGAAAACATCAAAGATCAGGCAGATTACGTTCGGTTGCCTGTCAGAGGTCTGAGATGTAATACTTCAGTAAATAAATGCTATTTATTGGCATGCCATATAAGGGCAAATGGAATGCAACTTGCTTTCCCATGACATGGACTACACAGATGTTACTTTGCAAACAATCTGAAACTCGACTCATGACTAAGTTTCTCTTAGTGTTTCTGTAACTCCCACCGTTTCAAAAAGCACGTAGGTCTTCTCTATAGTTCCTGCCAGTAGAAAAATCTTTTTTTAAAGTAGCTGACAAAAATGAAAATGTAGGACGCGTCCTTATTTCTTGAGAAAAAACACATGTTCTGTTAACATGATAAACAGTCAAAACAGTGAAAGAGATAATTTTTTTCTTTAGAACTTACACTTGAAAATTAAGCAGAGTTATGTCACTTTCAGAAAAGGGTGCTGTTTATTTGATTAGTTAGCTACTGTGAGGAACAACAAATACTTAGGCAAAGTAACCTTTCCCCTTTAAAAAGGATAAATGTCATGCATTTGCCTTCCATGATCAGTGACAGAAAAATTTAGTCTTCTTATCTTTTTATGTGGACTACACTTTCACTCATACTCAAAAGTAATCTTCCCCCATGAACCATCCATGAATTTCTGCCCATGTTCTGCTTAACAGGGGACAGGCATCACACCCTGACAGAATACAACTATCACCCTCATGTGCACAAAACCACCTTTTTCAACACAGAAGTTTTTATGTTAATTTTTAAAGCAAACAATTAAAGAAATCGCATGGCATTAGGGAAAAACTTACCTTCTGGGGAAACAGAATTTCCATTCACAGGCACTGGTGCCTAAAAAAAACAAACAAAAAACAAACCAACATATCAGTGTTCAGTCAAAGTTTCACAGGTAGCACCCAAACTCAAAGCTATTTTACTGCTGAAGTCAGAAGAGTTATTAGTAAAACCAGAACCTTTTGTTGCCCCCACAGGACAACGCTCTACCTTACAGTCTCGCCCTTCTTTTTCTCCCCCTGTAGCTACTGTGTAAGTTTCTTGGTTGCTCATAAATGACAAAACAAAACAGACTAATAACGAGTGACAGGTTAACATCTTACCTCACGTAAAGGGGATTTTTCCTACTGTATAGTCTTTGAGGATAACAGGATTTGCTGTTTACATACTAAATTCCAATTACATTACTATATACGTTTCAGTATGAAGGTACGCATGTGAATATACACACACACACACAATTTACATTGAATATACGCAAACATTTTTAAATAAATGTGTAACTAAACTCCTTTACAACCACATTTTCACAGAGTAGGAGTCAGTTCTGTGGAAAGTGACAAATCATTTTAAAATAGAGGCCTGTCAAGTCCAGGTCCATTTCAAAGCTGGATACACCACTATTCCATGTACTCCACAGCATGTCTTGTCCTATTACTTCAAGGACAAAATTAAAGCCAGTTTTAACACCAGCAGGAAGCAACCTGCCTCACGACGAGGATGCTAGTAACTTGCACAGCAACCATCGTTCACTGCCCTTCCGTCAGCTCCTCACAAACAGACAAGCTTCCCGGCTGACATAACTGATGGGAAAGAAGCAGAGAGCATCTCAGCACAAGGAATCCTGCCACGCTCACTCGCACACAGAAATCCAGTGCAGTAAACACATGGGTGTTGGCCCTTGCCATGACACAAGCCCACCCCAACTAGGCTTACCCAAGCAGATAACTCCAGGGGTAATCACTTAGGTGAACCATGCAAAAAAGAAACAATCTCCAAGACAGGGTTTACAGCTGTTTGCAGCTTCAGGAGAACAAAGCTGCACAGTGACCACCCATGTCTTCCACACCAACAAGTGGAACTTCCTGCCACTGTTTAAAGGCACGTGAAGGCATTAACAAAACTCTGCTGTATCCTGCAGGCAGGCAAACTGACCCAGAAGATACAGCCAGGACTCAGACCCAGCTGCACTGGTGGGAAATGCCCTCACGAGCCTGCCTGCCTCTGAGCAGGCATGGGGCTGCATGCACTGAAGAGCAGGTCAAAGCTTGTGAGGAGGGAGGGAAAATCAGTATTCTTTTTCCCACTTTACCCAGGATAATTACCTGCACAGGGAGGTTATGTGACTGGTCTGAAAGGATGTGCCAGTATGACAAATGTAATCCAGGTTTTAAGATTACAGAATAGTTTGGGTTGGAAGGGACCTTTAAAAGGCATTTAGTCCAACTCCCCCAGCAATGAGCAGGTACATCTTCAACTAGATCAAAACCATCCAACCTGACCTTGAATGTTTCCAGTGATGGGGAAACTACCACCTCTCTGGACAAACTGTTCCAGTGTTTCACCACCCTCATGGTAAACAATTTCTTCCCTTATATCTAGTCTACCCTCTTTTAGTTTAAACCCATTATCTCTTGTTCTGTCACTACAGACCCTACTAAAAAGTTTGTCCCCATCTTTCTTATAGGCCCCCTTTCCGTATTGAAAGGCCCCAACAAGGTCTCCCTGGAGCCTTCCCTCTTCCAGGCTGAACAACTCCAACTTTCAGCCTTTCCTCACAAGAGAGGTGTTCCATTCCTCTGATCATTTCTGTGGCCCTCCTCTGGACCAACTCCAGAGCGAATAGGTCTATGTGGGTCTATGTGGGAGTGAGTCTATGTACTTCCTCTGCTGAGAACCCCAGAGCTGAAGGCAGTGGTCCAGGTGGGGTCTCACGAGAGCAGAGTAGAGGGGCAGAATCACCTCCCTCAACCTGCTTCCCACGCTTCTTTCGGTGCAGGCCAGGATACGGTGCAGGCTGGGCTGCGAGCACAGATTGCCAGTTCACGTCCAGCTTTTCAACCACCAGTTCCCTCAAGTCCTTCTCTGCAAGGCTACTCTCAAACCCTTCATCCCCCAATCTGTATTGTTACCAGGGGTTGCTCTGACCCAGGTGTAGGACCTTGCACTTGGCCTTGTCGAACCTCATGAGGTTCACACGGACGGGCCCACTTCTCAAGCTTGTCCAGATACCTCTGAATGGTATCCCATCCCTTGGACGTGTCAACTGCACCATTCAGCTTGGCGTCATCTGCAAACTTGCTGAGGATGCACTCAATCCCAATGTCTATGTCATTGATGAAGATATTAAACAGTACTGATCCCAATACAGAACCGTCAGGGACATCCCTTGTCACTGATCTCCATCTGGCACATTGAGCCATCGACCACTACTCTCTGGATGTGACCATACAGCAAATTCCTTATCCACCAAACAGTCCCTCCATGAAATCCATATTTCTCCAATTTAGAAAGAAGGATGTCGTGGGGGACTGTGTCAAAGGCCTTACAAAAGTCCAGATAGATGACATCCGCAGCTCTTCCCTTGTCCACTGATATGTCACTCCATCCTAGAAGGCCACTAGGTTGGTCAGGCAAGACTTGCCCTTGATGAAGCCATGCTGGCTGTCTCAAACCACCTCCCTGTCCTCCCTGTGACACAGCATAGCTTCTAGGAGGATCTGTTCCATGATCTTCCCATGCATGGAGGTGAGGATGACAGGTCAGCACTTCCCTAGGTCCTCCTTTCGACCCTTTTTAAAAATGCATGCAATGTTTCCCTTTTGCCAGTCACTGAGGACTCCACCTGAATGCCATGACTTTTCAAGTATCACGGAGACTGGCTTGGCAACTACATCAGCCAGTGCCCTCTGGACTCTAGGATGCATCTCGTCAAGTTCCATAGACTTATGTATGTTAAGGTTCCTCAGGTGGTCATGAATCTGATCTCTTCCAGTTTGTGTCTCCTTGTTGTCCTTTATTTTTACCAGCAGGTCTTGACTCCTCCATGCCAGTCTCCTGCCATTTTTTCCTTATCTCTTACGTGTGGGGATCGAGAGCTCTGGAAAGCAGCTTCCAGGCCTTAACACCAGATCATCCCCTCTCTTTCCAGTAAAACCAAAGCTTTATTTCATAAGGCAGGGAGAACCACTGGTCCTCATGTATAAAAGCAGATGCCTGCCACTGCTGGGATAATTGCTCAGAAAGTTCGAGATAAGGACTTGGCACCTCCCCACCAGGAACAGATCAAAAAATTCAGCCCATTGAAGCAGGAATCTCTTCAATACACACACGTTCATTTGGAACGCCATTTAAAAAAACAAACCAATAAATAAAATATTTTTTTTAAAACAAACAAACAAAAAACCCCTAAATCAAGCAAATAAAAAAAATCCCGCCCCAAAAAAACCAAGCAAAAAACCCATCAATCTATTGTTTCACAACTGGTCACTGAACAGAAGATTCTGCTCCTACCAAGTCTCAAATGGAAATGGCCTCACAGAAAATGTAGGGAGAAAGGCAGTTAACAGACTTTCCTGCTTAGATCTGAATTATTTGAAACACATTAGTAAGCATACAGACTCAAATTTCGTTGGAGATTTTTTAAATTATCAGGAAAAGCCAAGTATTTTCCCCTGCAAGACACTGTTCTGCATTTTATCAAAAGAGACCTCATCTAGCAAAGCTTTCCTAGTTCACTTTCCAGTACTATAAGGGAAGAATTATGTGATAAGTCTGAAAAACACTGCTCTACTAACTATATATAGATTGTCTTGGCGATTTTCCAACTTGCAAAGTCCTCAGCAGCTTCTTCAAGAGCAAGTGAGCAAGCAGTTCTCAGGATTAATGTTAAACAAAGGTTTGGCTGTCCTGGTCAGTTTTACAGATGGCAACACTTAAAAGCCTGAAATAAACAGCACATCTTAGCACTACCACGTCGAGCTACAAAGCTCTATTCCTCCTGGGTTTAGTTTTCAACATATACTAACACTGGAGCTGAGAAAGAGAGGAAACAATTTTCAGAGGACAGAGAACACTAGAAATTTTCACCACCTAGTGTCAAAACTCAACTGGGTTTGTAGTCACAGGGAGCTGGTGTAATTTTGGCTGGTTCAAACGTTCAGTATGTGTTCCCATATGCACAGATTATCTTCTGTCTCTGGGATTGACTGGACATGGCAACTTCACCAGCTGTAGAATCACTCCTGGTTTGCCAAGACAGATGACACTACACAAGGCCACCATCCAGAAACTAACTCAGTGGAGAGAAAATTACCCAACGCAGACAAGCCGTTCTAGTCTCACATCTGTAAAATAATGAAAGGTCAAATAATAGCACAATAAATCCTATCAAAATCAGCAGGACTATCTTGGGAACTACCCAATCAAAATCTATATGAAATTCTGATTAGTGACCAATTCGCTAAGTATTTGGTTCAGATTTGGTTTCCATTTGGTTCTTAGTTATAGTTCCCTTGCTCACCATAAAAATTGGTTCATAACAATACTGAGTGTTGCATTTTGGGTTTCGTTTTTATTTTGTTTTTTGTGTGTGCTTGTGGGTTTTGGTGGGGTTTTTTCGTTTTTGTTTGTTCGGGTTTTTTGAGAACTCAATATACCTGATATAAGGCAATTATCATGCACTCAAAAATTCCGTAATCGGAGTCTGACCCAGGAAACAGAATTGTAAGGAACCAGCTCTCTCTCACTGCACAAGTAGCTCAGAAATTTTGCAGTAGTTGAAATATTTTTCTCACTGTACTTGCATATAAAATCTCTATCTCAGCTTTCGTTCTTCTGTTTTTATCCAGAAGTGAATAGATGGACATAAATTATAAAGAAATGTATCTGCTTTTAGTTTAAAAAAGAAAAAAAAAACACTTCAGACAGACAGACACAGACGGCTTTCATTTAAAATTACTACAGCCATTAAAATTCTGCAGCCAACACTCACGTACTTGCACTTCAGTTTGAAAGAGATGAATGCCTGACAACCAAAGTGGGCAGTGTGGTGTACTAGACAAAAAGATACCTGCTTAAAATGTGCAATTCAATCCCCCTACTTATATTTAGAGTTTGACTGTCCACTATTCATATTTCAAGAGCATTTTACCTTTTTTAGTTATCGTATATTGGAAATTGCACGCAGTATGAATAGTATTTAAGAGAGAATAGCATCTTTTCCCTGTCTGAAAAGTACCAAGAGACAGTAGCCTACAAAGACACAACTAAAACACTTCGGCTCAACTGAAACAGAATGATGGAAAGGAGTATGTAATGATGACTTCACAAAAAAAGTATCACTTAAAAGAAAATAACATGAGGCACCAAAAAGCCAGGAAGTGATAACACTTGATAAGAAGGCAAGAGTTCATAATGAAAAAGACATTAAAGTTTGATACAAGGTACCTGGTTTTATGAATTGGTTTTACTAACCTTCCCCTCAAAATACAGGAAAAATTTTTATTTGTTATTAAGAGACAAAATAGCAGATACTGCTGATTTAAACAGATAATCGTTGACTCTACATGCTTAGAAGTACAAACAGCACAGAACACAAAAGGAAACATTCCTTTGCAGGTTTGTCACCACCCAAATACATTTGAACTTGAAACTTCAGTTGCATTTAAAAACTTACTAAAAGTTACTGTAAATTCAAAAGTATAGAGGAGGTAAATATTTGCTTATGGCTGCGACTGACATGTCTAAAAACACATTTGAATTTCAAAATTAGTTTTTCTTTCATTTAAAAATTACTGTCACATTAATCAACATTCACAAGTGCAACCATAAAGCTACTTTTAAAGCAGTGCTGAAAACAAGAGACCTGAATAGGAAAATGTTAGGTTTGACACGTCTTTATGACTTAAACTAATTTTTCTTTGCAACTGACAGTCTTATTTGCTTGTGACAAAACACTACCCAGGACAACACATTCTTACTAGAAACGCTGTTGGAATGCTAACTGCACAAACAGTGGATGGGTCTCCTTTGACACCTGAACTCACGTAATTACTGTGACTACTGGGGCAAAACACTGCACATATGCAAAATACTTACCACACTCGTGTGGTCATGAGTACAGGCTCAATCACCCCACGTGTTGTGGTTTTTTTTTTTTTTAAAAAAAAGGTAATATTTGGGGATACTTTTCTCCATGTAATTTCTGGTAACTTTGCTTAATTTCTGGCATCCAAACTAGCATATTTTAAAATAGAAGAAATTCTCCTCCACCAGCATTTGCACATGAAAGCATCAGACCTGCAGGACATTTTTCTCGCCTGAATAGGAAACCTGCATGTTTTAATTTTATGTTAATTTTCAGAATATGACAGGCATTCTTTAAGAAACATTGAAAAAAGCATCCCCCACTCTTACAGCAATGCATTTAATTATGCAAGTAGACAAACAAAGGATCCCTTTAGTGATTAGGAACTACAGTCAGCTAGTCAGTGAGTTCTAACACTGGGTGGTAACTCATGGCAACAGGGGAGACAGAGAAGACAGCAGGCTAGATACAAATAGCAGTCCATCCTGCTATTCAGGATCAGAAGAAACAGCACTGCAGAGGGAGAAAAAAAAACAAAACAAAAAGCCCCCACCAAAACAGTAACGAAGCTGCCAGAAAGCATGATTGCACCACTGCAATGAAAGGTTTATATTATGATGCTTACATTTCCCCCACAACCTTTGTGCTCTTCCTTTTACTTTATGCCTTAAATTTTTGTTTAAGGACCATTTCAGTTTAGCTACTTTATTTCAGTTTTGGAGCTTTGAATCTTCTTTTCCTATTGATCACTTTTAAAAAAAAATAGTGAAGAAAAAGTAAATATTGTTCTTACCGACTGCACAATTGATCGGGCATCCTCCTCACTGCAACAAAAAGGGCTGCCACTCATCAGAACATTTGTGCTAAAAAATAAAATTAAAAGCATGTTTTATCAATCAGTGGAAAAGAGACACACACAATTAAGTAGCTATGGAAAAACATCTTCACATATAGAGCCTAGCAATGCATACATGCAAGAAATGAGGAAGTCGAGAACACAAAGTAACCAGTAATGCTGGAAGGGAACTGGGGTGTGAAGGGGTGTTCTTTGTTTCTTTGGGTTTGAGGGTGTTTTTAGGCTATACATTCTATATTAATGCAAGCGGTGCTCATACTCAGTGCTTCTGGCAGTTAACTTGGGTACAGTTCAGAGGACCACAGTTCTAAATCCCCCCAAAAAGTCAGCAGAGATAAACTGGCACTTCGTGAGGGAGTTGAAGACCACCTAGATAGCTAGCACAGATGGTGTGAATATCCTCCTGTCTCTTGTGCCTTGAAGGCTGGCCAGATTCTGTGGCGGGCCACTCTCAGTTTGCAGTAACTTGACTGCATTATCTAACAAGAAGGAAAAAAACAGGTCAAAATTCTGCTTCTACATAAAGCAGCAGATATCCGTCCTAATTCCAGAGAGCAGGCAAACTCTGGGACCAAATACTCCGCAGAAACATTTCCCTATGAATATACATCCTTTCACACCAAAAGTGAGTTTGGACATGAGTTTTTAAGGTCCTACACAGTAAATGACAAGAAGTTCAATTCCTCAAAGCAAGACTGAAGTTTTAATTGTTTCTAATTTTATCAATACGAAGCTCAAAGTGCCTCTGAAATGATCAAGACCAAAATTTGAATATTAACCTAGAGTATTCTTGCCACGCTAAAGTAGAATTACCAACCTTTCCAACTGCTATGGTGTTCAATCGCCTCCAAGAAACAGAAAGTCACTCGCGCTATCCCAATAAAGTAGAAGATGACAGTGACTATCTGAGCACCATTTCCACCACAGCCTTTGCCCTCTGGTTTAGCTAATGGCAGTCTACAGCCCTTGGAAAGCACCAGGCAAAGATTCCTGCCTGCTCTTCAGGGCCCCTGGTACCAGAACTGCCAATGCAAACCAGTCCAGAGAGCTTAATAAAGTCCATTTTAATTTAGATCAGGCCAAAGGCTAGTAGAGAACAACAATTTGGTTCTCTCATTCCAGAGAACAACTGAAAAATATGGAACGCTAAGCTGCAAAAGAATTTTGCATCACAGCAATGCAGCATGGAAGGATGGAATAAACTGACAAGAGGATTTGCAGGGGATACTGAGATTCTCCCAGAATGACCCTGAACAAGCACTGGGGCCGTTCCTCAAAAATTGAAGTTATCTATGTCACTTTTATATAACCAATATATTTTTGGAACCATTTATCAGTAAATTATCATCATAAAGGTGCAATTAGTCAATCATAGTCTAGTATCAATTAATTATCAATCAAAACCATGAATGTTCCTGTCATCTCAAAGTAAAAAAATCTAAGCAGTTCATGCACAGCTGCCACATGTTGAATACCACCAGTACTAGCACAAGACAAAGAGGCAAAGACGTGACTGGATACTTACCACTTGATAGTACCTCCATCAGCTTTTTTATGAAGCAAAGCTTTCCAGTATTCATGAGTGGATTTAATAATTTCAACAGCAAAATCCTAGTTTACATCAAGGAAAAGTTTTATGATTTAAAATGTTATTAAACAGAAAAAAAAAGCCACAGAACTAGTTTATTAAAACATACTGTTTCATGTGTTATTTTAAGGGGCCTCCTTCGAGGCCTCATTAAATTGCTGGAAAATATAACACCCTTTTTTATGAAAACACACAAACTTCGCTATCTGTCAAATACACTGGCAACACATTCAGGACTTTCCCCTCAGCCAGAAAACATGAAGGCTGCACGACAAAACGAGATCAGTACTAGATGCTAAGCAGAAACCTACAGCTGTAGAAAACCATACCAGGTCCTAAATGGGACAAAGTGTGTGAGCTACGACTTGTGCTGTTACTTATGCATGTCAAGGTCAGAGTTAAGGTTTCCCCTCTAGCGGCAAAATTTGCATTTACTTCACTAATTGCCCAATCATATACTTAAAGGGTTTGCAGCAACATAACATGTCAGCTGCTTCACAGTTATCGTTTGTTCAAAAACAAAAGTAATACTGGGGGCGGGTATGAAAAAGCTTCAAAAAACCAAAGTAAAATAAGCCCTCGGTGTCCAGATGATGATGTCTAAACGGGCTTGCAAAAAGCTGCCACTACAACATTCACATTTCCTAGCAAGAGTGACTTGGCAAAACGCCACTGGAACATTGTGAACTTCACCAGAGCTGCTGGAGCACAGCCATGACTGCCTCGCCACATCCTGGGTCTCCAGAAATGCTTGAGAATTACTCAAATGCTCCAAATCAGCTACCTCGGGGCATTTAGTGCCTCAAGCCTGAACTCCAATGGCCTGACAAGGATTTCCAGAGCAACACTGCTTTACAGAGCAGGAAATCTCCAAGAGCAGCTCCTGGGAGAACAGAGACCAGGTTATCAAGCCTTACGACTCTAATTTGATTGACTTAACAGACAGTTTTAGTGCAGAGGGGAGTCAGGGCATCTCTTTAACCAGACAAAACGTGAAGTTGTCTGTGCTGGTTGGAAGGTGTTTTGTAACTCTGATAGCACACTGCGAGGCTGAACTGGCTGACACAAACATCACTCGTTAGGAACCTGTGATCCTTCACCAAAAACAGTCTCCAGAGAGTGTGCAATACATGACTTGCAAAGCACTTTTACTCAAATCACACCCAGCTTCCACTGGAAAAATTCAAGCATTTTCTTCAGCAAAGTCTACTCCCAGGTCCACTCTCCTTTCAAACACTGACCGTTTTTACTGTAGACAGTTTAAAACGCCATTCATTTTTTCTAAAAGAGGGAAAAATATTTTTTCAGCCTTCGAGCCAAAACCAGCTTTTTTTCTATGTTTTTAAATAGAATTATTAGGAAAAAGTATACCTTGAGCAAATACCAAATATGAAAAAAATCTGCAACCTATTGTCTGTCTCAAACTGCACAGCCTTAAAAAAAAGTAAGGAAAATTTATCAATCGAGACTTTAAAAAATATATGAAAAGACAACCTGTTCATTCCTCTGACAAGGAGAATGAAAACACTGGAAAAAAAAACCTAGGAACGTACAGATGCATGTGTAAGTCTCATCAGGATTAAGACTAAACGTTTTTTTTCAGACTTCCTTTAATAACCTATGCATCTTCCCTGAATAAAATGGAAGGCAGCAAACATTATTTATTCCTAGTCTAATAAACTGCATTCAAAGACGACTCTTATAAAAATTCTTTTTGTTAAACCTCCTCCTTTACAATTCCAAAAATTCTAAGATGTATTAAAGAGGTCATACGACAGAAAGATGCATCTTTAATTTTGGATCATCTTCACCTTGTCTTTAAATTCTCCATTAAAAGCGAACTGATTTTCCGGTTTACCATCAGGGACTTTGTATAAACGGAACCAGTCAACTGTAGCCTCAAGGTAACCTGGTTTGTGCTTCTTGACATCATCAATATCTGTAGGTTAAAAAGGAGAAAAAAAAAAAAACTGGTAATTTTTACTCACAATTTTTGTAACATTCATTTTTTAAAGTCTCGTAAAGGATCTGCAAGCAATATGATTTCACTGAGCACTTTCAAAGTCATTGGGGAACTTCACTTTATTACATTAGCAGCCCATAGTTGATATCTTAAGATTTCACAACCACACTAAACAGGTAAACTAGTTGCCTCCTGCCCTTCATTAATTAAGACCCAAAGGGACAATGAATAAAAGGACCGTACTTGCGACAGGAGAGGAAGAAAATCTGATATTTACAGGCTTTCATCTCACTAGGTACCTCTTGCAATACTTAAAGATTATTCAGTGAGGTATTTTCTTCCCCAGCAACTGCAGGGACTACAGGCATTTTTTGATAATGAAAGAACAGCTAGTAAAAACAATTTCAACACACGGATTTCTAAACCAGCATCTCAAAGCAAAATACAGGCTTGACTTCTCAAAGTTATATTAAAGGTATCCCTTTACTCACATCGCTTTCAAATTCTCAACCCATTAGATACAAGACAGACACACACCAGGAGCACTAACCACTTCACTGATGACCCCGTGATATCTGCATACTCACAGTCGTGAGCCAGTTGTACCTTTACCTCTTAATCCTACTGTGCAAAGATGGAACAGGACACAAAGAGTAACGCATGCCATTTGCAGGACACCCTTGGGAGGAGGAGATGAACACTGCCCCAGTGGGTACAGAGGGATTAAACAGTCACACAGTAATTCTGCTCAAGGGTTCTACTGCTATAGCAAAGACACAGTTCATGATCTTCAACGCTTACTTCTGCTGTGCATATCAAATTTTACTGGGTTGTCCTGTGAGACTACCATCACTCCTGTCACTTGCAACAACGGGGTCCTATCAGCCCCCCGGCAAATTAACACTCTGGCAATATGGCTACATGGAAAAGCCTTCAATACAATTTTAATTGACTTTCATACAATAAAGGATTTTGTCCTTTCTGGAAGCCAAGTACTTTTTGTAGCTGGTGTAATCTTTCTCTTTGATCCACTTCCCTCCTACAGTCACTTCTGATGGAAATGGAAGCTGACTCTTTATTGCTGTGCTTTGCACACAGTCTTCCAGCTATTTCATAACCTCACTCTACCCAGGCCACCATCCATGGTGTTATTCTCCTTCTCTAGTGTTTTGCAAGTCATTTGCTCATTTCTCCCTTCCTGATTCCCTGGCATCTGATCCCGTTTCTTGCTCTCTCTCCATAGTGCCTGGCTACTTCACTGTCTTCTCCCATAGATACGCCTCACTCACTGACATCTCCTAGTTGGCAGTGATTCCCGACAGATGAACAGATGTCTATCCAGTCTCATAAAACAGATTTTCAGAGTTGCTTAGTCCATGGAACTGACACCTAGTCATGTGCTTTCCAACTTTAAGTGCCTAAATGTCTTTTTAAAATCTAGGCTGTGAACTTGAACAAAAATTATTAATTTCTAAAGAGAACAGTAAGAGAAGGGAAAAAGTCTTGTGCTACAGGCCATTCAATTCTCTGTAGACCACCAAGAGATATGATGTGTGGACTGAACTGTGAGACCAAACCTATGTGAGAAGATGTGAGTGTTCATAGCCATCTGATACATGCCACTCCCAAATTCCACTGGATCGCACACTACTCAGAATAAAACATAAAACTTTGAAGAATACTATGTAAATTTTTGCTTCTGCACGCACTTAATAGGGTTACGTGTTTATGGACTTGGAGTAAAACACATTTTGAACTTGGCTGCTGGCCATCTGCCTGTAGAAGATTAGGGAGTTTCATTGGCAGAATCCCAGAAAAGAGCAAGGGCACATAAGGCTGTGCTAGAGGCAAGTCTTCTAGCTGGAACACGTGTTTAAGAGCAAAAGAAGCTTTTCACTGGGGTGGGTGGGTGAGACCAACCAAGAAGGAACGATTCAGAAAAGGGTGAGGTCTTAGTTGGAGGTAGAATGCTTCATTTGGGCACTAATAAAACTGCATCTCCAGTTGAAGTCAGTTTCAGGGCTCCAGTGTATCATCTTGCTCGCTCCAAGCAAAGGAACACCCCTCCTCCTATCTTGAGCCGTTGTCATCTCCTCCTCTTGTGAGGTTTGAACTCAGAATTTCTAGTACTTGTTGAAGAGACAGTATCTCCTCAAGTCTGTATAGCAAACTAGGCAACTGCAGCAATTTCCTTGGCTCTCAGCAGTGGTTGAACTTGAGGTCTCCATCTCCAGACACTACTTAAATTCGAGCATATTTTCTCAGACTGCTACTCCTTTTTTCTGGTTCCTGTTCCAGCAAACTTGTCTTCTAACTCTGCTTCTCCATTCCTCCTACTTGGTTATTTGCTCCCTATTCCCATGAATACTGTTCATCAAGAGTGCTTTTACTGTCTACTAACTGACACTTGGGCCCTTCCCCACTTGTTGTTCCTTATTTATAGGTTTTGTTTATATTTCTTTAAAGAACTCAAATATTAGAATAGGCCTTGGGGCAGGCTTTCATTACCTTAAGATAGGGATGACCATCTTTGGGATAGAATAATCGCTCTGAATTTCACATTCTCTCTACTTGCCCAGGTAAAATGACTACACAGAATCAGGTTACAGCATTATATGGCCCCTAAAGTACTGGCTGCTGTATATTCTGGTTTTAAGGACTTAAGAAGAGGGACAGTGGTTGCTTTTATTTCCTTGATTCCTTGCAAGTTATCCTCCTTCAACCCCATGCTTCACTTCACTATTCTTTATTATGAAGGGCAGCTACTGGGTACCAAATGAAGCTTAAATGGTTGAAAACCAACCAAAACATCTGTATTATAACGGGAGCTGGTGGCAAGAAGCAGGAAAAAGTGTAACAAAAAAAAAAATAAAAAAAATAAAATCGATCCTGTTGCTGTGAAGTCAGCACAAATCACAAAATATAAGGAAAACAGCAGCTCTTGCATCACTCAACAGCTACCTCTTCAGTTCATTAAAAGGCACCATAGAAAAGCCTGAAAGACAGCTTGTCCTCCACTTTGAAATCCAAACAGCATCTTTGGGATATCAGGGTGAGAAGGAGAGAAACATAATCAGAAAACAGAAGAGTAGCAAAGAAAGGTAAAAGAAAAAAATCATGATAAGCAGCACAGTGATTTACTGCACTAATGCCTATAGAAGCTAGCTGCCTGTTATGATATAAAAACAAAATTACTTAGATGTCTTTTCCACAGCAGACACTGTTAGACATTTTTTTCTGACCCTGACTCCTCGCTTTCCCTTAGAGCTATGTACTGACACTGATGTAAAAAGGGGCTGAGCAAGCATGGGAGTAGCAAGCATGTACCTGGCCTCATGCGGTTTCATCTCTGCCAGCAAGCCCTGCTCAGAGCGACAGGGAAAAAGGTCAGGCTCCTGCAGGTCCATCACCAGCACGTACCCACCGGGCTCTGGGCGGCAATTTCTTTATCCTGTCTACATACAACCATAGGTCCCATTTTTCTGGGCACCAGAGTTAAGCACCAAGGGTTAAAAAAAGATGACTAATCACGTTAAGGGTTGCAGTTAAGTCTCAATAAGGAAAATCTCTAGAGGTTGGCACAAACAACTGCTGCTAGCTCTCTTGTCAAAGGAGTGAGCCAATGCAAACGCAGATCCAATTCTATCTGGCTTTACAAAAGAGAGCAACAAAAGCATTTGTACAGAACTACCATTTTTAGTACAACAGATGCTGCTTCTTGCAAGCAAAGCTAAAACAACATGCTTGCAGCAAGCTTTCTAAACAAGGTCTGTGGGAAGAGAGGACATATGTTTTTAATAACATCTTATAAACATTTACAGGAAGCAGCAGCTACATTCCATATAAAGGCATTTGGTGTATTTTGTGCAGCTTGGTGTGAGGGGGTAGGAGGGGAGCCTCAGTACAGATAATTAATTTCTTTACATTGAATGCCTACACAAATCCACAACAAAGGTTTTCAGGGCCTCTGCTGCTGCTCTGCATATAAACACGCTCACATGCAAGAGTTTAACACAATATATGGCACACAGTACGCAACAGGCTTTAGTTTTGCCATTTAGGGTTTGATCACTTAACTTGAAAAGCTGATGTTGAGCTGCACATTGGAAGAGGAGCATGGTGACATAGCACTGTTAACCATACCAGTGCCAGCAAACAGCAGTGCAACAAAGCCGTTAGAAACCACCAACTGCTGTTGAACATATCCAGGCATTTTTCCAGTGAGGAATAGCAAAATACAGCTGCTAAGATTCCAGGCCAGGAAATCACCTCCGAAACGCCATCCAGCACACATGACTTGTGCAATTTGCTCAGGGAAGGTAAGACCACCTTTTGAGAGTCAGACTTTTTATAAGCTGCTTCAAACACACTTCCTGCTCCAATTGCCAGCGACTTTCAAAACCTCTTGTCCAACATGAAGATGCCATATACACGTAGACCAATTATACCACTAAAATATTGCTCATCCCTTCTGAGCCCAACCTTGTCAAGTACATCAGATATGTATGTGAATCCCAACATATTAAATTCAATCCAAATTATGAGACAAGCAGACAAGCAGCCTATCCACTCCAAGAAGTTGCTTCCTCCCACCATGGCAGGGAGGTTGGAACTAGATGATCTTTAAGGTCCCTTCTAACCCAAACCATTCTACGATTCTGATTCTCTGGGACAGTATTTAAAAAAAAAAAAAAAAAAAAAAAGCAACAACAACAAAAAAGCAGCCAGGCCTATTACACCACCAAGATTTAGTGTTTCAGTGTAGAGGGAGCTTTCAGGCCCTTTTCCAGGCTTGCTTTGCTGGTCCCTAGCAAATGCCTGAGCAGAAAGACAACACAGGTAACCACAAAGACAGATCTTATTAAAACAGATAACTCTGAAGATGTCCAGTTTTAGACTAAAAGAAACTTTCTCAAACAGATACCTGCATCTGACATACAGCTTGTATTTGGAGTGAGGTTGTCTTCGTGCCCACCAGTATTAAATGCTGTAATTTCAAACAGATGACCTTCCAAAGTCAGTCCAAAAAGACACTAAGCCCCTGCTATTCGCACTGATGACACAGTTCCCACTTGAATAGGTGCTAAGCATTGCTTATCACTCCTGGGTATTGTCACTATAAACTAGAGTCTCTCATGCTCTGTGTGAAAGAGAGAGTTCTAGGCAGGGTTTCCAATTTAAACCAGTATTTATCAATAAATGCCTGCAGGACACAGTACAGTGAAGTGCTATGAATAAACAATGAGAATTGCTCAGAAGTTGGGACTGCTCAGTTTTAAGTTCTGTGAAGCCTCAGGAAAAAAAAAAAAAAACCAACAAAATCAATTGCACTTATGAGAACGATCACAATCCCAGAAGGAGAATACACAGAGTACCTGGGGTGTGCTTAAAGCAGCAAGAGGAGTTAACACACTGTGCAGGCTCAGGATGGGGTCTGCAAGTAATCACCACTCTGGTGTCTCGGAATTATCTTTTCCAAATGTTCAGTGGGGCTGTGCACATACTGAGCTGAAAGCAAATGTGATGATTCTCAGTCCAATTCGAAATGTTTAGCAAATGATACAAAAATGACTGGACAGACTTAGAAGGCAACACTTAGCCTCATCTTCCCCCAGGGGGCCACCACCGTTAACACAGCAGCATGTCAATTATTGAGGGAGATACCAGTTTTATCTGTAGCTGCTATCCCTTTATGCTGAAATAATTAACATCTTTGGAAAGGGGGAAAACAAGTATAAAAGGACATATTGTACTGCCTACTCCAACAGATTTGTTTGTTTTCAGGCTGAAGAAGGATTGCTGTTAAACACTGCAAGCTAGTTGTTTTGTGAAAGCAGATGGGTTTGGGTTTTTTTTTTCCTTTTTCCTTCCTTTTGTAAATCCTGGACTGCAACTCCAAACCCAAAGGGAAATTATATTAAACTGGATAAATATTTCTGCACTTCTCTGAACCTCCGAAGGACAGTTCTCTTCCTGAAGTTTTGCACCTATTCTCTGATAAGAAAGGATGAACACAGGAATCAACTACAGGCAAGGGTTTGCACTTTTTTTTTTCCTAAAACTCTTACTCCTCTCCCGAACAAACTAAAGCTGTAACACAGCTGACACAAATCAGTCATTACCTGAAAAAAAACAAAACAAAACGAATGGATTTCAAATAGTGTTACTTAACTCTGGCAAAAACTGCCAGAGTTTCTCTCAACCACTGTTGAGAGAATTCTCTCAACCACTTTTCTGATTAAACTCTCTCAGAAATTAAGGTAAAATGGTAAGAGTTAAACAGAGCAGCGTATAGAAATAAAGTGCTAATTGCTTGTCTTTTAACTACTGACACTTATATCACATTTCGCTGCACAATATAAAGAGGTTTAAATTGATACTAATATTAACAGCAAACTATTACTTACTATTTCCTTAAACTGAACTTCTTAATGTCTAACTGTCAAAGTAGTTAAAGAGTCATAAACACTATGCAGTAATTCATCTGCCCAATGATTATAATCAGCATCAACCCAAGAGTTTCCTTTTCCTCATTTCCTCTTCTCCCCTTCTTTCCCCACAAGCCAAGTATTCTCCATGTGAAAGCAACCTGCAAGAAAACTGAGAATGAAGGGCCAGTCCAGTGATATATTTTCTTTACATTCAGAAACTTCGGAAAAGCCTCAATGGCCAAGAAACAGAATTCCTTAAAAAGCTACTGGATAGCCTTGTTCCTACAGAAAGGCCACTCTGTGCCTTGGTGCTCCCTGTCAACAAAGAGCAGGCTCCAATTGTAAGTACCTGATGGTTTATAAGGGGTTTGGTCTCATAACAATCACTAACTTTTAGACAAACCTCACTTAATTCTCATGATTCCCATTAACATTGCGTTTGAGGAAGTGAACCGCTATTTATCCAGATAAAAAGCTGAATTTCACCTGTGCTGTAAAAATCTAATTCCCTGCAAGTTTAACACCTGTATCATCACCTTAAACTGTCTGGAAGTAGTGTTACACCTCGCGGGCTATTCACAAAGACACATTTTAGTACTCGAATTCCATGTGGATACCAGAAGCATGATCACAAGGAGGACAAGTCTGGACAGGATATCTCCCCCTGCACAGCTAGTCATCATCAAGGCTGATATTAGGGTGAGCTGCAACAGCAGTTCACTTTGCAAATTTTCAAGTTAAAAGGTGAAACCTAATCATTCATACTAGGCAACAAACCCTGGAAGTAATCCAGTTACAAGTGACAAAACACTGTAAGTGTACAGCCCGTTTCAGAATGCAACACCATGCCTGCAAATATAAAAGGAACAAACACTTTTGACAAGGAAAACAGCAGTGTGCTACATAATCTGAGTGAGTAAATATGCACTATTGCATAGGAGATAAATCCACAATTTTAAGAGGTCACTTTCTAAGGTAGTTGTGTTTCAGAAGGCAAAAGACTTTTTGCATGACAGGTCCTCTTGAAAATCCAAGTGAATCTTTTCAAAAGCTTAGTGTGAAAGCACATATGCTCTCCTTGAAGGAAGCACCTGATTTAACCAACAATAAAAAGTGCCTTGCCTTTCTGCTGTCTGCCTCTTCTTGTCCTGGGTGGCCTAAACTCAGGTATCATTCTACTGTTCAAGTTGCTGACATAACTTGCATTAAAAAAGGTAAAAATACTTGCCATGGATTTTCTGAGCTTCTGGGTCATCCACACTGATGGCAATTATTTTCCAATCTGTCTCTCCTTCATCAACAAGAGCTAAAACACCCAAAACCTTCACCTGAACAACCTCACCAGAAGAACGAATCTGAAATAGAACACAATCTCACACAGATTTGGAAAACACTACATAGAATTTCTCTTTTACCTTACAGACAAAATACTAAATTTTTGACCAGCAGCTAGCAGAATTGCAGGACAGATCTGTAAACCCAGTACACATCTATTTACATTACCAGCCTTTCTCCCACCATTGCTCTTCTTCAACTCTCAATTCTCCAGACAGCATTTAAGTAGACAACACAAGTTAGAAAATTTCTTCTTCTCTTCTACCCTACTTCCCCCACTCCTTCATCTTCACACCAAACTGCAAGTCAAAAGTATCTTAATACTATTTTTTTAACTCTTTCCTGCCTCTTGACTCTCTACTTTCTCAACTCTTGGTCTTAGTCTATCTTGTGGCTGTTCCTTCCTCTAGACTCCAATATACACATATGAACACACAGCCCTTCCCCAGAAACATCCACACAACTCTTTTTTGTATTTTCTTGGGAACCTTCTCCCTATTCCCTTTGTAACTCTTTCTGGATCCACTGAAATTCAGCTTCAAGTTCCTTTCCTCAAATAAAACCACCTTTGCTGAGGTCACCAACTAAATTTCTCCTTACCTAAAATATCCCAAGAGCTCCCTCTTCCAAACTCATCCATTTCATAACCCCATCTTTGATACCACAGAAGATTGCTCCATTCTTTGCTGTCTTCAGATACGTAGAAATTTCTTTCCGTGAGCTAAACCTTTCCCCTACACCTACTAATGGTGTTTGCTGCACCTCTTTTTCATCCACCCACTCAGAACTCTGCAACACTGCAACAGGTTCCTGTCTTCTCCTCTAGAGAAGAGAGATCTACTTCTGTTTGCACCCATGAGGAAGCTCAAACCTAACTCCTTTGTGGGTCTGATCTTGTAATTTTATGTGCACGGCACTGCGATACTTCCTCATCTTTCAGAAACCTATTCCCAGCTCCAGTACTGCTAACAGGGGAAAAAGAAAGAAATCTACCTCCCCAAAAATCTTAATGCTCTCTTCCTTCACCCAGAACTCACTGCCCAGCCACAGAACTACAGGGTGGTGGTCTCTTACTTTCCCTTTTATCCAGTATGCAGACTTTACCAAATCCCACTTTTTTCTCCTTTTTAAAAATCCACCTTTTCCTTACCTATTCCATCCTCAGAGCCTCTATTCATACTTTCATCATCCCTTGAGACTATTATCATCTTTTCTTGTTTTCCATCTGCCCTTCTCTTCCAAAAGCTGCTACCAAATTACGAACATTGATAAATTAAATTAATCCTGATAAAGACAAACCTTTGAACCTATTTCACAAACGTCAAGAGGATCGTTATCCCCACAGAATCCTGTAACGTTATCTGTATGGTTTGGATCTTCCCAGGTCTGTCAAAGGAAAGAGAATTATCAGTTACCAGCTGATCTGCAATTACAATTCATCTAACCACGAAATTACAAAGATTAACGAAAACACCAATAAGAACATCAGCTGAAAACAGTCTTGGTCAATGGGAAAAAGAAAAAAACAAATAAACAAACCAATGGACTGGCATTGAGTAGCTCATCCTCATATTAAGGACGAGTAACTTGAGGATTACTGAGGACATAGTAACAAAAAACATCTGTGACTCAACAGACACACTTTATCAAACCACAGTGATTAAGGCACCAGAGGACCCTGAATATGTGTTTTTCTGGTTACTAGTGGTTCTGGGATTAAGCTAGAACATCCTACAATCACGTTCTTCTTATACTCTTTAAATACCACGGCATTAACATAAATTGGTTTCAAAAACATCTAGGCTTTGAGCTAACCAAGCTCCTGGCTATGGATTTGTCAGCACCCAATTAGCTTTTTAAAGTTTTTAAGATTTAGGTGTGAACCATTTCCAAGCATTTTGAGATCTGTATGTTCCCAAGAACAGCCAGCAGCTCAAGACCAAAGAAGCTTCTCCACAAGGCAAGTTCAAATCCCTGTTCTGAGCTCTGTACGTGCAAGGAATTGGCCAAGTTATACTAATTTAATGACCAGAGCAGTACTTGTTTTGTCTCCTACTGGCTAATAGAGAGTAACTCATTCTAAAGTTGAGAAGTTTTCCTGGTAAGAACTATGAATCTAACAAAGCTTTGTTGAAAAGGTGTTAGAAACCTTTTTTCCAAGGAGCTATACCATTAGCTCCTGCTGTCCACAGTCAAACCTTCACCTCAAACTTGTTCTTGAGAGGTGGACTGATACTAAAAGGCAAAACTATGAAAAGCAAATGCTCAGTCAGGTGTTTTGGTAGCAGAATCATTACCAAAAAATTGGCTGAAGTGGAGTCAAGAGATAATTTCAACTTAGAACTTATTTTCCCAATACTCTTCCAAAGCGCTTTTTGTTTAAGGCTACGTTATAGCAGAACTATTCTCCTGCCCAGCTGCACCCCTCCACCTGTAGGTTAGAAGGAAAGCTTGCTAGGAACAGTATTGTTCTCTGGACAGTACAGCAACTCCTGCAATAATGACAGTCCCACTGTCATTTTTTTCTTCTCTGTTCCACAGCCTAAAACAGCAGCCACAGACACATATCTTTAAGCCACATACTAGGGCTGAACTGCTGGCAACTGCTGATCCTGATGAAAAGTCTTCTTGTGATAATGGAGACACTGAATGGGATTTTGTTTGTTACAGCTGCTGGTAGCAATCTGGAGTATCATCTAGACTTCAACAACTGGAGGTGTAATGATTCAACTGGTATTTTGAAGTTATTATGGAAAATACAAATGACAATTATCTCCAGCCCTCTCTGACTCACAAGGTAACAAGGGAAACTGAACACTTCTCCTGGGGAAAGCATCACCAGTCCAAAATAATGCACTTTGTGCAGGAAAATATTCATATGTTTAATTTAGGCTTTGTACTAGGGCACACACAAAACTCAAAACATTAAATGGAATTGCTGGCTCCCAACTATACCTACTTGGAAACTTTGTCTACTGAGACTGCCAACTAGATAAGAAATTCGTTGCTATACTCCAGCACCTGCCAGGTATCTCCTCTTCAAGGAGCAAATACATAAGCAGATTTTCAGGAGCGAAATTTCACTGCTTATGTAGTTAAGTGTAAAGAAAATAAATTACTCTCTCCTAGCTCCATCATGTTCTTCAGTACTAATTTAACTTCAATGTGTTCTTCACAGAAATGAAAAAAGTTTAAAACCTTTCATTATGCTCAAAATTTCAGCCATCAGTTGGGCTTTTCAAGGCTCGAAGTTTTGAACGTGTCATGATCAGTAAAGTCTCACAGTTCAGAGAAAAGTTAACTAAGGCAGTTGAGGTTTAATCTAAAAAATAACAGCCCTTGTGTTCCTCTTTGTTAAAGATATTAAGAAATCCCAATTAACATTTATGCTGCAATACATGAAAATCCTAAATTAGTTTTCTAAAAAATGTCTTGTTTAAGCAGAAAAGGGCTACTTGACAAAGTATTCTTGAATGGCAGACCGTGACAGTTTAATTCTGTCGCTACAGTACAGAGAGACAAACTAAAGATTTGAGATTTCTTCATCGTTTAACTCCTTCCTGAAACACAGCACATATTTACACCCACACCCAAATTCTGATCAAAATTTATGGACACAATAAAGCTCAACATAAAAAAATCCTAATTTACAAACGTACCAGAGAGAAACATCCCTCTTGCAACTGATTTGCATTCAGGTAGTAGCCAAGATTTACAAGGCAATTTACACAGAAGACAGAAAACTTTCACCATTATAACAAAAATGTTACCTGTGGGAGGGCACCATAATTCCATATATAACCCTTGTGAGGAAAGATATTTGCCACATATCGAAGCTTGCCTTTCTTTATATCTTGTTTAATGGGATTCAATGGCTCCTCAGTGGCAATCTAAGCAGATCGTGAAAAAGAGAGAGAGAGAGAGAAAGGTAAAATGGAAAGCAATTCATTCTGTATCCAACCAGTTAGAAAGCTCCAGCTGGGAGTACGTGCTTGTGACTTGAGAAGTATGAAAGTACGATGGCCTTACCCTAAATCTCCAGGGTCATGTTTAAAAAGCAGCTTATTAAGGTTTTAAATAATGTTGTGAAGTATGAAAGAAAAAAATGAATCTAGAAGAGAAAGTAATAAATTTATAAGGAGACTGTCATGGTCAAACATAAATACTGAAAGGAACTTCAGTTAGAAACTGTTGCACTATATAGTACAAGTTCAACAGACACACAAATGGTAGCACAAGTTCTTCAGACAACAGGGGTTTTGACAGCAACAGGGGAAGCGTTTCATCTGCTTCTCACCTCCTGTTCATTGCTCTCCTATTGCATACTTCCCTTCTCTCCATCGCCTCTGTCATGGCTTAACCTCTCAGCATGCAAATGCTTTTTACTGAGGACAAGATCTGCACAGTCACCAAATGCCAACCTCACGCAGATTTGGAGCAAGTTAAGCGATCATCAGAAGGCGGCATTCTTATTCCCAAAAAAGCACTCACAGCAGGACTGAACTAATTAAAGTTGAACAATGTATTATTGTCAACACCTGTTCCAAAATCTCAAACACAAACCCACTGCCACATAAGTTAGCTACCACACATGAGCTAATTCACCGCAACCATCCTTCTGACACTCTCCACCACAACCCATCTATGCCAGCTTGGCTCTTGCTCACACACACTCACCTGAATGGCATCACCCTTGTTTCAGGCTCAGGCGGTCACACTGGCTCAGGTGTGACACAGCTTGCGTGCATAAGCGCACAGCCCTTAGTCCATATTGATTTTCCAGCATCCTTGCAATTTACCTGAAGCACATAGAGTCTCCATTCCACGTGAGGGAATATCAGCACAGAGATGCAGACAAGACCTGGTATGAGCACCTTGCCACAGTCTGGACTGAAGGAATGCCAGGACACAATGGCAAGGCAAGACAACTGCCTTAACGATTCATGCAGGAAATTTCAAGTATATTAAAATAAGTTATAGATTAGACAACTATATCTGGTCTCCTCTATCAAGCCAGAAAAGTCTGAAACCAGCAATTTCTGAATCTAACAGGACAGCAAACTTTTCTACTCTTGACATAATGTGCTGAAAGAAAGGGAGAGAGAGCAACCTGAGCTTTATGCAAAGAGTTCATACAGTGTTGTCAAAGGGAAACTGTGCAAAAGAAAACTCAGATTCCACAATAAATCATCATCTTAAAATACAAGGTAAGTATCGAGGGTAACACTGCTTGCAGAACAGCAACTGTGGTGGTAAACACAGTTCAAATGATTTTCCAGCATCACGGAAAGGAGAAAACAAAATTCTGAAATAACAAGCTGGGGAGGTTCTTTGGTGTTATTTTCAATAATCAAAATTGTTAACAGCTCAACCACAAACTTCCTTAAAAGCATCTGGGAAGCATTCCTAAAATTAATACAAATGTTCAGGAAGACAGGACATATCCTGGTGAGATCTGCTGTTTCACAAACACTACAGATGAAGCATTACTCAGCTTCTATATTGTAACTGCAGAGGAACAACTCACTAGGCTCTACGTTTAAAATATCTCCCTGGAGGAGGAGATACTTTCAATCAGTGAGATCCCCAAGATTTTTTTTGTTGTAAGGAAATTCTTTTTCATTCAACTCCATTTGTCAGGATTTGGCCTAGCACACTACACAGCAGAAATGAGAGAAATGAAATCCTCTGAGTGAAATGCTGTACGAGCAAGCAAGGGTCAGACTAAATGTTGGACAACATCCTGCAAGCCAGCTCTCTAGGACTCTGCTGCAGGTATGCTGCACTCTGCAGTCAGAGGGCTCTCAAGAAGCAGCGCTCACCTGCAGCAGGGAAACAAGATCAGAACGTCGATGCTTTTTGTAGTCGCAAGGAAAGTGTCTGTATGCGTAACTTCAAATTATTGTTTTAACAGAGAAAATTTTATGTTTGAAGAGTAATCCACGCTCTGAGTAAACTCTGTTAGAAGCCACTGCATTCTCATAACTGTCATAAATACTTATACAATCAAAGTATTTTTCTTAATTACCTCCATTTTTGCATTTGTCCAACGAGGCACTTCTACAATCATATTAAACAGGACCTAAAACAAAAAACAATGACAGAACTAAAAATAAAATCCACTTGGCAATTAGCATTTTACAGTAAGACAAATTCTCTCATCTGTATTCAGCAGCAACATATATCACATTTCTCTATTCCAGCTGCTTTTACTTTAAGTACAATTCATTTAGTTTCACACAATGATATTCAACCTGCCTGGTCCATGCTCTCCCTGCCTCACCCCTTTGAGAATATGAACAACTCCAAGAAGTGGAAATCCACATGACATTTTTTATTCCCATATCAATATCACTCTTTACAAAATGTTCAGAAAGTCCATGGAATGGTTCGCCACAAGGCAGTGGTTCAGTCTACTAGTCAAAGAAGACTGAACGTTTCTATAGAATGGTTTGAGTTGGAAGGGACCTTCAGGATCATCTAGTTCCAATCCACACAGCCATGGGCAAGGCCACCTTCCCCTAGATCAGGTTGCTTAAAGCCTCATCCAACCTGGCCTTGGGATGGGGCATCCACAACTCCTCCGGGCAACCTGATTCAGTGCTTCACCACTCTCATCGTAAAGAATTTCTTCCTTGTATCTCATTGAAATCTGCTCTCTTTCAGTTTAAAGCCATTGCCCCTTGCCCTATTCACTCCATGCCCTTGTAAAAAGTCTCTCTCCAGCTTACTTGTAGGCCCCCTTTAACTACTGGAAGTATTGGATCACAATTCAGAGCACTCTCAGGAGCATTATCAAGTACAACGTAGCACCAAATTACTGCAGGGTAAGGCAAGGTATGAATATACTATGCATCAGGTACTATGGAACAACTGCAAAGGACAGAGTCAGCTTCCCCTCAAACACTGGAAAGGAAAATGTTTCGTTTTTTTTTCCTCTGAAGATTTATTTCTTCAGGCCCTCCTCTTTTGCCTCATTCATTTTTTTAAAAATCCATGCAAATGAAACAACCACCAATATTTATGATTCTCAGTCAAATCTAGTTGAAGTGAGGCAAAACGAATCCAGAAGTGATGGCGGAGGAAGGACATAGACACAGAAACTTCATATTTGCGTTAGCCTTCTTCTGAAAAGGAACAAAATGAAAGTTGTTTTAAGAAGGGAGATGTGGGGGGAATAAACCTAAACCATGTAAAATTCCATGCTTTTAGAAGACCAGTGTTGGGCTCCTCACTACAATAAAGACACTGAGGTGTTGGAGTGTGTCCAAAGAAGAGCAATGTAGCTGGTGAAGGGTCTGGAGCACAAGTCTTATGAGGATCCACTGAGGGAACTGGGGTTGTTCAGCCTTGAGAAAAGCAGGCTGAGGGGAGTAGCTGTCTACAACTACCTGAAAGGAGGTTTTAGTGAGGTGGGTGTCAGTCTCTCTTCCCATAGGAAAAGAGATAGGACAGGAGGAAATGGCCTCAAGATGCACCAGGTGAGGTTTAGATTGGATATTAGGAAAAATTTCTTCGCTGGAAGGGTTCTCAAGCACTGGAACAGGCTGCCCAGGGACGTGGTTGAGTCACCATCCATTTAAAAGCCATGTAGGTGTGCTGCTTAGGGATGTGGTTTAGTGGTGGATTTAGATTAATAGAATGATTAGAGTTGGAAGGGACCTCAAAGATCATCCAGTGCCACCCCCCCTGCCATGGGCAGGGAAACCCACCACTACACCAGGTTGCTCAAAGCCTCATCCAACCTGGCCTTGAACACTTTCAGGGATGGGGCACCTACAATTTCTCTGGGCAACCTGTTCCAGTGTCTCACCACCCTCAAAGTGAAACACTTCTTCCTTATATCTAATCTAAATCTCCCCTCTTTCAGTTTAAAGCCATTGCCCCTTTTCCTGTCACTACACGCCCTTGTAAAAAGTCCCTCTCCAGCTTTCCTGTAGGCCCCCTTTAAGTACTGGAAAGCTGCTATAAGATCACCCTGGAGCCTTCTCTTCTCCAGGCTGAAAAGCCCCAACTCTCTCAGCCTGTCTTCATAGCAGAGGTGTTCCAGCCCTCAGATCATCTTCGTGGCCCTCCTCTGGACCCGCTCCAGCAGCTCCATGTCCTTCTTGTGCTGGGGATTCCAGAGCTGAACACAGTATTCCAGATGGGGTCTCACAAGAGCTGAGTAGAGGGGCAGAATCACCTCCCTCGACCTGCTGGCCACACTCCTTTTGATGCAGCCCAGGACACGGTTGGCTTTCTGGGCTGCCAGCGCACATTACCGGCTCATGTTGAGCTGCTCATCCACCAGCACTCCCAAGTCCTTTTCCTCAGGGCTGCTCTCAATCCATTCTCCGCCCAGCCTGTACTTGTGCTTGGGATTGCCCCGACCCACATGCAGGACCTTGCACTTGGCCTTGTTGAACTTCATGAGGTTCTCACAGGCCCACCTCTCCAGCCTGTCAAGGTCCCTCTGGATGGCATCCCTTCCCTCCAGCATGTCCACAACACCACACAACTTGGTGTCATCTGCAATCTTGCTGAGAGTGCACTTGATCCCACTGTCCATGTCACCAACAAAGATGTTAACTTGGCAGCATTCTGTTTACAGTTGGACCCAATGAATACAATAAATAAATCTGTGCCCTTCTTACTGAGGAGGTTAAAGTGACATTTTCTGAAGAGAAAAAGTCTCTGTGTAACTGCTGTAAGGTTTCTTCTTCTGAAGCTGTCAGAGTTAAGCACTACCAAGAAGCAGAGTATTAATTAACATGGGTAACTACACCAAACCACCGAGCAGTGACTACAACCTCTTTTCTCCTACATTACTAAAATAACCCCAAAATATCACACTCCCTGGGCCATCTCTTCATAGCCAAAGAAAACCTACACTGGTATTAAAAATCACAACAGTTCAAGAAGGACAAAATATGTTTTTGAAGAAATTCTAAAGTTAAATCAATCGAAGACTTGCACTGACTCTTCAACTACACTGCAATCAAGGCTCCAGTGAACTCTTAAATATTTGTATTTTTGCTCCTTGTATCCTGCAGCTGCAACAAACAAATACCATTACCAGCCTCGATGTCACAGTCCAATTAAAGTAATTCCAATGGTTCTATGATCTTCTTCTCCCAAACAAACCTGGAATGTGGAAAGTAAGAAAGCAAAGGAAAACCCCAACTGTCACTCAGCGTTTCTCCCATGAGATCACAAGCTATGCACAATCCTGACAGAAAATTCCCAGTAATTGAAATTAAATTCGCCATCCGTAAGTACTGTGCCCATACCGCACGTCAGATGGAATCACTTTTTCCTGATCAGGTCTTAACCAAATAAAACAAGGAGGGGAAAAAAAAAAAAAAAAAGAAGAAGAAAGGTGCTTCAGATCAGTTTCATGAAGTACATTGGTTGAAATGGTTCTCAGTCATCAGAAAGAGAACTCAAAGACTTCAACACTAAGGAAGCAGACAGAACAAAGCAACATACAGGCAGCAGCAGGTAAGGGAAGGGCTGGAAGGGAGCCATATAAACTCTGCATATCCATCTGGGAAACATTTGGAAAAAAGAAATGCACAACATGAAAGCCAGCACTGACAAGAAACTCTTAGGGAACTGCCAAGCTGGTAAAAGAACGTTCTGACTGGTAGCTACAGATAGAGAACTTAGAAACTACTCCTGGAATCAGACATGATGCCTTTCTCTTTGCCATAATCCTATATTTTTCTTGCCTAGGTGCCACTGTGTATTTTCCTGACCCTGTCTAATAGAATGCCTTCAGCAGCCTGTAAATCTTTACAGCTTTAATTGGTCAAGGGTTATTCCAGATCTTCACCAAAACAGCACTCAGGGCTGGAAAACAACTGGACTGAAATGAATACAATGCTGCTTTCAAAAACAAAACACCACTTGGATTTAACTCGGCTCTAAGACTAGGCCTTCATAATTTGTGGTATCAGTCAAATGTGAATTGTCAAGAGTCTTAAATGTGACAGCCTGACAGATTAATTCGTACGCAAAAAAAATCCCCAATAGTACTCTCTCTAATGCTAAGCTGCCACAAGCTTTTACAAGAGATTAATAACTTCATGCAGTGCATACATTCAAAAATAAAAAGTTTTATTTATAGGGCAATCACATTTTCACAGTGACAAGACAGGATTCACTGGTGTGAAAAGGAGAGCACATACTAGACAGTCCGACAGATAGAAAGAGAGAAGAAGTATACTCCTCTGGTTTTTCAGGGGTTTTCTCCTCCTCTTTCCTATGTTGTTTCCCCCCTTGCCTAAATGTCACCCAGGAATTTTTCCATCACACTTATTTTTCCAGACAAAGCACCTATTCCTTCTGACCATTTGAATGTTCTCCCCCATCCCTTGCTGCAAAACCATCCCTGCCTCAGCTGCAAACAGAAATGCAAGTGTCAGACACCACCTGTCTTCACAGATTACCATCTGCACATGGCATTCAGTGGTTAGTTTTGGACGGTGAATGCGTCTGGTAATTGGTATTTTTATCTTTATTTTAAATCAGTAGAACAGAAAATTCCACCTCACCAAACCCCCAAGTGAGCACTGCTTCCCCCTCAAGCAACGGCGAAACTGTTTCAACAGCCCATTTGACACACCTTCCAGGGACAGAAAAATTTAAAAAAGATCTCTCATGAAACAAAAACTATTGCTTTGGAAAGTTTACCATTTAACTGCCTCAGTAGGACAGCAGTCAACTGGTCTGCCTATGAGATTGCTGCTTGCTGCAGTCTAGATTTAGTTCAGCTCTGCAAGTGCCTCAAGCAGACGGGACTCTATGACAGCAGACTACAACAGGCCAGATAGAGCAGTTCCTACAGGAGCCTCATGCCAACTCTGCCAGCTCACGGCTTCTTCCGAAGGACAGTCCCCTCGAGCATGCAAGAAAAGAGGAGGGAACAGTTTCCTAGATTCAGAAAAGGAGACAGAACCCATCTGCTAGGGGAAGGGACCTGACAGAGCCCAGAGGGACTTTCAAGCCAGGGTATTACGTAGCTTGGTTGGGTTAATGGGAACACGAGACAGACATTTGTACTTATGCTTTATTATACCCTGAAGAGGCGATGGGGAA